GGGACAGGTAAACGTGCACGTCGGGGACAGGTAAACGTGCACGTCAAGGACAGGTAAGCGTGCACGTCGGGGCCAGGTAGGACAGGTAAACGTGCATGTCGGGGACAGGTAAGACAGGTAAACGTGCACGTCGGGGACAGGTAAACGTGCACGTCGGGGACAGGTAAACGTGCACGTCAAGGACAGGTAAACGTGCACATCTTGGGGACAGGTAAACGTGCACGTTGTTGGCAGGAATGTTGCAGTTTTTTACACAAACATATCAGAATTGTTTCAGTGATTCCAAAGATCCCAAATTAAAAGGACCGAGTTCAGAGGATGATGATGATGATGATGATGATGATGGTGATGATGGTGATGGTGATGATGAAGGTGAACTCTGAGGTAGATGTCAGTCAAACAGACTCTCAGATCTTCTGATCAGAAACAAACTTTCTGATCCTGAACAAAGAATCCAAAAACAGAAAAATGTTCAAACAGAGTTGAGCTGAAGGATTTCATGTCCTCAACCCGGACCGGACCGGACCGGACCGGACTGGACCGGTTCTCATGTCTCTACAGCAGCAGGAGCAACATCCAGGTGGACCCAGGAGTTCTGGGAGGTCCCTCAGGGTCTCGGCTCAGAAGATCTGAACCTGCAGACAGAAGCAGGRTGATGTCAGTTTTTAACCTTTATTTTGAAAGGAAACAGGAWGKTGKTTTTATTTACATCCTGAACTGGTTTCAGTTTCTCACAGGGTTCTGATGAAAACAACAGTTTTATGTTTTGGTTCTGTTTTCTGAAGTTCGGACTGTTTTGGAGTCGATGATGCGTTCAGGGAACGTAGGAAGTTTTAGTTCTGCAGCCTCAGACTGACGCTTCTGTTGTGTTGATGTTGTGACTCTGTTTCCATGGAGACCGGAGCTCAGCAGCTGCTGGTGGTCGGAGGTCCGGTGACTTTAAATACCGTGACCTTTGACCCGAACGAGCCGGTCCACATAGACCTGTTCCTGAAGCAGAGACTCAGACTGACCCGTTATTAATTATTAACCTGAGAGCAGCAGAGCCACCGGGCCGCTGCAGAGAGACTGAGGGCCACGGCTGGCCCCTGAGCCTCCACTTCTAAACTGCTTTATAAATAAAGTTTTTAATCCAGAGAACAGCTGCAGGTCTGAGACTGGACCGGGTTTGTTTTGGTTCTGCTGCCACCATGTGGGCAAACTGAAGAACTGGTCCTGAGGAGACCACCAGAGACCTCAGGTGGGTCCAGGTGGGTCCAGAGTCTCTAACAGGAACTGGTTTCACAGGATTTAACATGTTGGTTGGACAGGAAGTGACATCACAACCAAAACAAAACATAAACAGGAAGTTTAACTCACCTCCAACTGGACCAGAACCAGATGTAGAACCAGACTCCGAGGGGCCAGATGTAGAACCGGACTCTGAGGGACCAGATGTAGAACCAGACTCTGAGGGACCAGATGTAGAACCAGACTCTGAGGGACCAGATGTAGAACCGGACTCTGAGGGACCAGATGTAGAACCAGACTCTGAGGGACCAGATGTAGAACCAGACTCTGAGGGACCAGATGTAGAACCGGACTCTGAGGGACCAGATGTAGAACCGGACTCTGAGGGACCAGATGAGCTGAAGAACCTCCAGCAGCCAGATCAAGAGTCCAAGTCCTGCAGGTCCACTTTGTGACCTGGGTTCCTGGAGTCCAAAAGGTCCAGAAGAATCCATCAGGGCCAAGTCCTGCAGGTCC